TCCATCCACCCACCCACCCTCCCATCCATCCACCTATGGCTCTACCTTGGGGGCTTTTTCAGTTTCTTTATCTCATACAAAGTCGGCAGGATTCCTTGGACGGTGGATCAGCCCGTCGCAAGGCCGCTACCTGCAAACCGGACAACATAAACACAGAATAAACAGACATCCATGCCACGAGATGGATTCGAACCCAGGATCCAAGCGTTCGAGCGAGCGAAGACAATTCCTGCCTTAGACCGCGCAGCCACTGTGATCAGCTGAAAATTAGTATGTACAAAACTATAATTTTACCTGTAGTTTCGTATAGCTGTGAAACTTGGTCCCTGAAATTAAGGGAAGAACACAGACTGAGGTGAAGACTAGGCAGATCTACACATCTACTCCCCATACATATTCATCGCGTAGTGCTTAATGATTTAAGCACAGGAACAACTTTACACAGGCTGCGGGTACTTAGAACAGGGTACTGAGGAGAATATTTGGACCAAAGAGGGATGAAGTGACGGGAGATTGGAGAAAAGTGCATGATGAAGAGTTTCGTAACTTGTACTCTTCGCCAAATAAAAATACAATGATGAAGTCATAGAACGTATAGGGGAGAAGGCATCCGTACAGGGTTACGGTGTGAAAGTCAGAAGGAAAGTGACAGATAGGAAGAACTAGACGTAGATGGTAGGATAATTTCAATATTGATGGTGAGGAGGAAGTAGAAAGTACCGCATCTCCGCTTGTTTCTTGTTTGTTTTGTCCATTCCTTAAACCTGAAGATGGTAACATCGATAAATAATTACAAAAAGTAACCGGCACCACATACAGAAGGCCTCTTGAAGTGAAAATTTGTGGCGCCAAGCTGTCATTTCTCTTCAATAAGAGGTTCAGTACGGCTGAGATATCCGTATGGAATCAAAGGCTATCGCTTCAGCTTCCAGGGACAGTACTTGCATCTGTAGCAAATTCCGTTTGAGGCATGTGATGATACGAGATGTCACTGCCCTCCACCGAAAGATTAATTCATTTATATCATTCAGCAATTTTGCGTTCTGTCACACTCGATTGGCGGGATTCCTAATCATACTTGTTTTTCCTTTAAACTATTTCGCATAGCAAAACGAATTAGAAATATTTTCAAGACATTAAACAATAGACAATTTGTTGGGTCGTAAAACAGCGTTTACAGAGGTATGTGAAGCTCGCTAAATGATTCCAATTATCATGATTTTCTTAACCGTTCTAAGGAAAAAATACACGGAAGAACAGACTGTGTGGAAATGATAATTTGAGAGATACGATTGTGTTGCATAGCTGAATTCCACAAACAGTTCTCCGATTCGTCTTACTGCAGGGGCTGGGCTGAGTCCTTTTTGAGAAGCCACTAGTTGCTTAGGGGAGTCGGGATAGAGAAGTTGATATAGCGACTGGCTTCGGGCTGGACGACCGAGGGGTTAGAGTTCGAGTTCCGGTAGAATCAAGAATTTTCTATTCTCCATGTTGTCCAGACCGGCTCTGGGGTCCACCCAGCCTCCTCTCCAATGGGTACCGGGGGCTTTTTCCCCCGGGCGGGTAAAGCGGCAGAGGCGTGAAGCTGGCCACTCTTCTCCAACTAGTGCCGAGGTCAGGAAAACGTGGGTCTATACATCCACTGCCCCATATGCCTTCATGGAGATGCGCTTGATTTGTTAAGCACAGGGACAACTCTGCCTTACTAGTTGCTCAGCTAACCGAGAAATTCCCAACATTTTATGGAACCGGTATATCCATTATTGTATTCACAAGAACCATCCACTGGTTCCCATCCTGAGCAAGATCAATCCAGTTGATACCGCCCCACACTGAACCTCTTAACTGACGAGACATGGCAGCACAGCACAACAAATTCTCACTTGAAGAGACCTTCTGGATGCGACGCCGAGTAGTTTAGTAAATGTTTACTGATGCTGCCATCTTCAGAGTCAATGAATAAGCAAAGCAAGCAACCAGCGGTACATTCTACATCCTCTTCCGCATCCTTCTTGTCTCTCTCCTCTTAATTTCTGCTGACATTTTGTTCATACCGTGACCATTAATTATCAGCAAAATAACTTGCACAACAACGTAAATAAGACTGTTTGGTGTTCATGAAACAAAATGACGGCTTCCCTCCCAGTGTTTGGAAACTCCATGTTCCAAATTGTGACGACATTCATCTGTTTGTCGTGCGCATGCCCTGCACTGAAAGAAGACGAATGATCTGAGATCTGATTCTTGTCGCCAGGGTCTGTGAAAATTAGTGAAATACACGTATAATGGAAGAATGACATTTCAGCACGGCGATGACTATACAGGCGAAATGCTGGTGGAAACGACGAAAGGCGGCCGAAAGGTACCGCTTATCCATTGCCACTATCGACTGCAATGTGTATCCAGAGGAGGTAGGTCGATCAGCGAGTCCGGGACAACCGAAGAATTAATACTGAAGAAAATTCATCTTTTTTTTATTGCTAGTGGGGTGGGACTAAGTCCCTTGTACTGCGGCCACTTCTGGCCTATTGTAAGAGCCCCAGATAATAGGTGAGGGTGATTGTGGAGCAGTCGGTGGAATGAAGATTGGCAGAGGAAACCGAAGTACTCGGAGAAAACCTGCCCCAGCTCCACTTTGTCCACCACAAATCCCACTTGACCAGACCCGGAATCGAACCTGAGCCGTCGCGATGGGAATCAGCGACTAACCGCTTGAGCTATGGCGCAGCTCTCGAGATAAATTTAACGTGATTGAGTTTTTTTTTTGACGATGTGACTTAGCACTTAGAGGTAAGGTAAATTTGTCCCCGTGCTTAAATAATTATGCACTAAGCCATGAAGAAGTATGGAGGAGTGGATGTAGACTCAACATTTGAGATTTTGGACTTTGATTACACGATATGCCATTGGCTGATGTCATCACTACGTAAGATAAAGGCAAAGTTATCCCTGTAACAGGCCGTGGAGGCCCATAGGTTTGTGAGCCGTCGAGGCTCCCACATTTTCGAGACAGTTGGTTCACAGGTGGCCGTGAGGTTGGCAGCCTTACGCGCCGGGTCATTACTACGTTGCCAGAATTATGATGTTCAGCTTCTAACAAAACAAGATTGGAAAGCTGCAATCAGTACCAGGTTGCTTACGTTTTCCACGTTTTGCATTCTTTGCAATTTTGTCATATATATTCGCATTTCTATAGCTCTATTTCTATAAGCTCTATAAACGATTGTTGTTGCTACTTCCGTCTCCACAATTACTATGGTTACTATCAAACGGATATGCATAGCGGCAGAGTTCTAGATTCGTGTTCTGTAGGTGTCTGCTCCGAACCTCGGCCTGGACAGACTATCCAGGCCGATGTTCTTCATGGTTTTCGTCAGTCTCTCCAGACAAATGCCGATGTAGTACCATGATTAGACCAAGACAGTTTTCTTCCAACTCCCTGCCAATTCATCATTCATCCGGCACAATATAGTCAAAGATACTGACGGTGTCATTAAATAACCAACAAACAAAATTGAGATTCGTTATTGTTATCTCTCATCTATGCCTCGTTTTCCCAAGTGGTCTCTTCTTTGTCATTTCTCATCAAAATTCTGAACGTATTTCTAGTGTTCCTCATGCCTTCCACAAATACTCACTGCCCATAATAGACATTTTCCTAGACTAATGGAAAGCATTCAGTGCGACTTCTACGTAGTTTCATATATGAAACGTACATTTCTCATCACCACGGTTCTATCACAAGAGCCATTTTGCATATACTCGTACCAACACAAAATGATGGATGGGTCGTACAAATGGGATAGATATTGCATTTCTTAGCGTCGATCTAATCGATGTAGGCATTATAAGAGTGAATTAAAATACAGACAGCATTTCGTACTAACCTGTGATGTCGAAAGGCACAATTTGGCAGGCATCATCTCTGCTGACGTCACACCTGTACACGGCGCCCCCTCTGCTGACACCCGGTTGCGTTGTCTGAGCTTCTGGGGCACCAACTAACATCCTGCAAGACAAAAGCTAACGTCTGCTATTCTGTCGTTTTATGTTAGGTGCCTGAGTTAGTAGTCGTTATGATCATGAACAGAAGATTGCAGGAATAGCCCACAGTGGAAGGTACACTTACGATGTAAGTCTGTATTTCAGTGTTCATTTCTGCTAAAAATAAAAATTCAGAGTGCCTCTAAACAGCAGCATCGCTTAGTGTATATTGTTACTTCATCAATTTGTGTACCTTACATTAATGCAGTTGTGCTTCCAGAAACTCACAACTTCTTGAGGTTAGCAATTTTTGGAGTTTGTTTGCGAAGGCAAAGAAGATTGCATGTACATAGAATTCGTGTTCTCGGTGGATTTTATGTTCCAGATTTAATAATGTTTATTACAGGAAAAGTTTTCCTTTGAAATTCTTTGAGAGAGACTGCGTGGCTTAGTTACCCTATTGCAGCGACTGGACTAAGGTAGGAACGCCACGCCATAGCTCAAGCGGTTAGTCGCTGCCTTCCCATCGCGGCGGCCCGGGTTCGATCCCGGGTCTGGTCAAGTGGGATTTGTTGTAGACAAAGTGGCGGTGGGGAGGGTTTTCTCAGAGTACTTCGGTTTCCCCTGCAAATCTTCATTCCACCAACTGGTCCACAATCACCCTCACCTATCATCTGGGGCTGGTACAGTAGGCCAGAAGTGGCCGCAGTACAAGGGACTTAGTCCCACCCCACTAGCAATAAAAAAAAAAGTAAGAAGGCTGATCTCCACAGCGTCCGTATCGGCTCTGGGGACCCACCCATCCAGCGGGTGAAGGGGGAGCTCTTTCTCCGGACACAGCGGCTCGAGCGTGAAGCTGTCTACTTACATAATCTAGTACCGAGCTTAAGAATGCGTTGGTACGTCTTCTTACTGTTGTGCTTAATTAACCAGTGGGATTTGTGGTGGGCAAAGTGGCGCTGTGGCGGGTTTTCTCCGAGTACTTCAGTTTCCCCTGCCAATCTTAATTCCACCAAATTCTCCATCATAATCACCAGGGGCAGGCTACAATAGGCCAATCAGTGGGCACCGTGCCGAGTGGACCCAGTTGGACTCTACCCCCCACTAAGCGAATTAAAAAAAAAGAATGAGTACTATACACCGTCAGAATTCGTCTGATAGAATCAATGTTGGGAATACCAGGAACTGCATCCTGTTTTAAACGAATAAGTGATTACGAAGCCCAGCATGTTCCAGCCTCAAACGGTCACCTACAGGGGAGTCAAATGTTAAAGGAAACTTCACGTCATTATACATGATTTATGTAATTTCCTTGTGCATGACTAATTTATAACGGATTCGACCATAAAATACCATTAAAGAACGTTATCACTGTAATAGGCCGTGGAGGCCCACAGCGTTGTGAGGTGTCGAGGCTGCCACATTTTCTACACAATCGGTTCACAGATAAGCCTTAAGCGCCAGCCGGCCGCCCTTTACCCCCTCGCAGAGATCCCTGGTACTCATTTCTGTTAGAGGCTGAGTCGACTACAGGTACATAATGCGGCTGGAAAGATCTGGTCAATTGAAAAATCAAATTACCTCATCGGGAAGAGAACCCGTGAAGTTTAAATATAAGCTGTTGCAGAAGCCAATGATGTACAGCTGTAGGACGTTTGTACCTTGTGTAGTTTAAGGCAGAGGGCTGTGTAAGTCTTCAAAATATATAAATATACAGTAATATTAATGATTCATATCAAATATAATTTTTCTCTATGATCAATTATTATTTATGTCAGTCTAGAAATTGTATGAACTTTACATATGTTACATATTCTTAAAAATATAATGTAGGAACAGGGATAGCACAGTCGGTATAATGGCTGGCTAGGACCCGACAGCCGAGGGATCGGAGTTGGGCAAGATTTCTGTTCTCTCCACGTAGTCCAGACCGTTTCTGCAGTCCAGTTGAGTATCAGGGGATTTTACCAGGGGGGTAAAGCGGCTGAGTGAAGTTGACCACTGACCTCCAACTATTGATGAGGTCAAGAATATCTGTATTTGCGCATCCTCTCCCCCATACGTGTTCACGGTTTAGTGCTTAATTAGTTAAGCACAGGGACATTACCTTTTGCGTAAATACTGCATCGGCAATAAAGCCTTGTATCCAATTCTGTTGTAAAGCAAACAGCGACTACACAGAAGGACCGACCCCGACCTCCATTTCTAAAGAAATACATGTCTAGGAGAGAATAAAAATTATGGTCATGGATCTCGAGGATACTGAAGCCAGGAATGACTGTGCTGGCGAAGACCGTCAGCAAGTTAACCTATAGGAAGTCATGGGTGGCCAGTTCGGGACCAGTTGTGGGATGACAGCCGGCAACGGCGTAAGCACGGAAACAGAGGAGATAGAACAATCAGTGTGTGATGTAGTAAACTGCAGTGTGTGTGAATCAGCGACAGCGCTGTGGTCACCTGCACTTACGATCTGTAAGTGTTCAATAAATCCGATTATCAATCCAAACCCCGTGTCTAGTCACTAAATACGTGACAATACGTACACAGGAGTTTTCTTCTGTGGGGTCACAAAATGTATGACGTTCTATGGCTCGTGGAGCAGATGAACTCTGGGTTGTAACAAAGTGAAGCAGCTCTTTGTTTGCTTCATTTACCTTTTGAACGCGAAAATTGAGGCAGTAAGTTCCTTCGAAAGCCGATCACAGTGGCCGCTTGGTCTAAGGGGCCCAAACACGTACGAGTCTGGCTCGGCGAGCTTGACTCGGGAGCCGGGCTCGGATTAATTTCACCACAAACACATGAGCTGACTCACAACTTTGTGACCCACACACGGATGAGTTTGGCTCATTGGAACCCGAGCCGAGTCGGACTCGCGAGCCAGACTCGTACGTGTATGGGCCCCTTTAGGCACGAACTGTCTTCGCTCGGTCGAACGTTGATATTGTGAGTTCAAATGTAACTCAAGGCATGGATGTCTGTGTGTATTTATTCTGTGTTTGTGTTATCCTGTGAGTAGGTTGCGACCTTGCGACGGGCTCATCCTCCGTCCAAGGAGTCCTGCCGACTGTGTATAGGATTAAGAAATTGAAAAAGCTGCCAAGTTCTAAAAAAGGGCTGTAGAGCCGTAGGTAGGTAAGTAGACAGAGTCAAAGAGATCAAGCGATTGAGACAGACAGATAGATAGACATACAGACATATAGAAAGATAAAGTTCTTTCGAAAAACCGGCCAATAGCTAGCTGACTATATAGTGTAACATCCCAACATTCCAGGAGATAGCATTCCTCATGATAACCGCTCTGGCAACCTCAAATCTCAGATTACTGAAGAAATGATCTGAACAATTTTGTGAAGTTCCCACTGTCCTTTCTTTGGAGTTACGAAACAAATCAGGCGAACATGGAATTTCCACGGCCCGTCTTTGTCCGCCTGAGGCAGTCTCTAAGCCAGAACAATTATGCTCGTAAATGAAATCGGCCGTCGAGAGCTATGAATCCTGGACGTCAACAATAGCAATCTGCGGAAGAGACAGGGGTGGAGGCCCACATTACAGACCATTAATGTGAAGTTCCATTCTTCCTCATGTTGCCAGAGTTTCTATGTATAGTATATCGACGAGTGGAAACCCCCGAGGGCGGACTCGTGGTTGTGTAATTAGAAACAGATCTCTCTCTCAGTTATAGCCAAGTCTTACAGCAATCTCTATACGCCTATGGTCCGAAGAAACGAGGAAAGCTCTTGCATAAAATTACACATATATTTAGCGTTAAAACATTTTCAGACTAGCTCAGTCAGTACAGCAAATCCTATAGGAGTTAAGACAACAGGATAATCGGAGCTTCGTTCCTGTAGACGCAATGGACCTTTCATTTCTCCTCAGGGTTCACACTGTCCGCCCCCCCTCCCAAAAGCATCCTACCCATTCGGTATTGTGCATCGTCGTTCGCACTAAAATATGTTTGAAGAATGCCGTCTTCTGGGATGTGGCGTCGTGTAGATCTTGTGTGAACCGACGTTTCGGAGGAACGTATCTCCGTCTTCAAGGCAGAAAAATCCGCGAACGAGGTATCACCGTGAGCAGGTGGTTAGCACATTGAGCCAGCAGTCGACAATACCTAGCTATATAAGAACAATAGGAAAGAGAGAGATTGAACCATATAGGAACTCAAAAAAGAGGAGCGGGGTACAGTCTGTAGAGAGCAAGTAGACAGGCCCTTCCCTTCTCCTCCCTATTTATTGCCGATGTGCCCCACTCTCCTTCCCGTCCCTGTTCTGTGGTGGCTCAGTCTGCTAGCCACCTGCTCACGCTGGTTCCTAGCTCGCTGGCCTATATTGTTGCGTGTTGGACAGTGTTTACAGAGCTGTTGCCTGGCAACGCGTTGATCAGATCCGTTACGGTATTCTTAGTTCCCTTTGCCTTTTCGTTCATATAGAACTCCTAAGGGTACTCGACGAGAAGGCGAACCTGGTTATCAAGCAGCAGCATTCTGTTGGAAGAATGTTTGAACACGAAATTGGAGACGAAAGTAACAGGATCGGGAACAAATCAAATAATCGTAAAAGAGGATAAGGTTTGTGTGAGCTACCCACATTCAATCAAACGCTAGCCAATCAGCTCAGACCACAGCAGCTTCAACGTCGATTGTTTCGCGAGCCGTTAGCGACAACGTACCTCCGACACTCTAGTCGTCATTCGCAGATAGAAAACATCCACTGCTACTCAACGACTCAGTAATCAGGTCTCCATAGAAAGAGTGTGGTACGTCATAGTAACGGAACTACAGAAACCAGTGATTTCTCTACCGTCAGCGCCTAAGCCATATAGCGTGGACCATAGCGGAAGAACTTCCATCGTCCGAAGCACTAACGAGCAACGGCCAACGAATGCTCAACACACTGGAATATCCAGTGTGTTTTAGTCATTAAAAGAAGCTCGTCCGTATGTTTATTAAAGCAACAATAAATACAGGTATAGAAATTTGTATGTGGTTGTCTCTTCGAGAATCGACAATCTCACAGGTTCATC